GAAAAAGTTCATTTTCCGGCGACTTTGACCGACGGGCGGCGGCGGCGGGGCGTGGAAGAAAAGAAAAGAAGAAATGGGGTCAAATTGAAAATTTTAAAATATATAAAATTCGAATTTGGCCCTAATGACCGGAAGTTAACCTAGAAACGGGCTAATGGCTCATTAGTGAAAGGATTGTGTAAGTTCAGGGATTTTTGTGAAAAGATTTGAAGTTCAGGTACCATTTGTGAAATTTACCCATTTCTTTCCATTTTCTCTTTCTCGTTATTTTCTCTTAATCCAAAAGAAAGGGCTATGCAGCGTAGTCCAAGAAAGCCTTATCCTCAGCTTAGACTACTTTTTGAGTTTTGAAGGACTCATTTCTGACAGTGAGGTAGAGAAGGGAGAGGGTGCGTGCGTTTGTCTGAGACCTGCCATCACATATACACAGCACTCGTTCACACTTTCCTCTTTTCTCTCAGCAGCCACCCCAATGGTCTGATTTCCGGCAATTCCCCGCCGTCCTCCCCGCCTCTGGTTTCCGATCCGGCAAGTTCACCTCTTCTACCACCCGTCTCTTAATTTCCTCATTTTATTACACTCTCTGCGTCTAGATCAAAGTCTTTTTTTTTTTCAGACCTAACATTTACAAGTTGTTTTGAATAGTTTGCCTTGTACCTTTTTGCTCTTACTAATTGAGATTAATTTTTAGTTATTTTTCAGATCAGTGTGTAAATCTTTGATGTGTTCTCATTTGTTGTTGAGGTTTTAGCTGGTTATGGTTTCCATCATCTCTGATGGAGCCAAAGATTCACTATTTTTTTGGCTTTGGGTACGATAGTATAAAGAAAATGGCTCTTTAAATTATTTGCGCTTTTTTAAATAGTGAAGTAGCAGTTAGTCAATCTAACTTTAGATGCTCGTCACGGGTCATCCGGAAATAGCCGCTCTATGTTTTAAACATAGGGGTCAGGTTGTGTACATGATTACCTATGATGCTTGAGCAAGGGGTCTCTTTGGAAACAACCTCTATACTTTTGAGTAGTGATAAGGTCTGCGTACACACACCCTCCAATACCCTACTTTTGTGGGATTCAATTAGGTTGTTGTTGTAGTTTTAGCTGGTTATCATTAGGGCATGTTGCATATTTTGTGCTCTCTAAATATGCTTCTTGAGCTTTAAGATTTTTGCTCAAAATGAGTGTATTTGTTCACTCTTATTATCGTATACTTTTTTAGTAGATTTTATTATTTTTTAAGTGACACACAGGAATATTGAAGAAAAAATTATACTCCGTACTTCTTATTTTTATAGTTTTTGGAAACATCCTTTACATCCCTTTGGGGTAGAGGTAAGGTGCTTACGTCCTACCCTTCCCGAATTCCAATTGCGGGACCACACTAGCTGTTTGTTGACTTCTTCTTGTTGATGTAACTACTTCCTCCATCGGGAGATTAATTTGTAGTTTGCGTTTACACAACATTTAAAAAAATTGAAATTGTGCAGTTTAGATTTATGTGTAAGAAACAGAAATGATATGAATTACACAATTCTTTCTTTGAAAGGAATGTGAAATTGTGAACTTTATCTTGAAGCATCTCAAAAAGACTGATAATTTAATTTGGGGACAAAGGTATATATCAATTTATTTTGCCTTTTTTTGTTTTGATCATAGTTCACAAACTTTGACCGAGTTTGAAGCTAAAATACATTTAATAGTTATTATGATGTGAATGTAATACCATTAGATTTACTTTGATAACTCCTCTATTCCAAAATTAGAGTCACTTCAAACAACAACTACAACTTAGTATGATCTCACGGAAGTAATTAAAGTCGCTTCATGGTTTACAATGGTTGATTGGATATATTTTGAAATTCATTTTAATTTAAAATTGGTAAAGAAATAAAAAATAAATTTATATATTCAGGAACTACATGTCTAGTTCTACAAAACAAGAGGTGGTATGACTATATTATTTAATTAAGTTATCCATTGAAAATAGACACGTGGCTAGAGGAAGGGGGAAACCTAAGAAAATTTGGCACGAAGTGGTCAATGGTGATCTACGCGTGAATGATCTTACTGCCGATATTTAATCAAGTTATTTATGTTTTGTATGCGTACACACCATAACACATTGAGAAATGAAGGTCCTTGCTTCATGTTTTAAACATATGTTTCAAGATGCTTAGAGGGCTTACAGGTTTTGTGTTAGGGGAGTGATCCTGAACTCCAAAAGATGCAAGTTGTATATACTAGAAGAAGAAGCTTCAGTAATTAGCCATAAAAGCTACTCTGCATTTGTTTAATTGTTTGTTACTTATATGTACATCTCTAAATTGTACCGACCACTCCTTGATGTAGATTGTGACATGTGCCTTTTTACTATCTATTACCATTATGTTTCTGTTTAGTCAAACAAATGAAACAATGTGAAGGAGTGAGTATGCAGAAGGAAAATGTCGAAAGTGATTCATCAGTTGGCTAGTGTTTAATTGGTCCTCGTGACATCCTTTCCTCTCTATTCACGTTCTATATTGACTGAGCTGTATATTTTGGTTTCTCCAGGGCTGATCAACCATGGAAGATTCTGATTCTATTGAGATACTCATGCATTCAACAGCCTCAAAGATACAGCAACTGCAGAAAGCGTTTGCTGAGCTTGAAAGTCATCGCACAATTACTCTCAACATGAAATGGGAACAACTTGAAGAACATTTTCATGGGCTTGAACAGTCCTTGAAAAGACGTTTCACTGAGTTGGAAGAACAAGGGAAGCAGTTTGAAACAAAAATAGTTCAAGCTAAAGATATGCTGGAGGAACGTGAAGCTGCAGTTGCGGCTAAAGAGAGAGCTTCACTTGAAAGGCTCCAAGAGAAAAGAGATTCTGTAATTTCTTCCATTTCCATTGCTCTAGAAGGAAAGTGTCAGAAGCCTTTCTCTGTGGAATCTACTGTTAGTATTGAGGATGAAGATGAGTCATCCATTATGGAAGCAAATCATATTAATGTCACAGAAAGTAACACAGAGGATAATGGACAGTTTTATGTGAATGGAAACATTGAGGTTAAGTCTTATCCAGAATTAATTAATTTATGTCAAAAGATGGATTCAGATGGCATCCACAAATTTATATCAGATAATCGCAAGGATTTGGCTGCTGTGAGAGCGGAGATACCTTTTGCTCTAAAGGCTGCAGCTGATCCAGCATCTTTGATTTTGGACTCCCTCAAGGGCTTCTACAACTCAGAACTATTAAATTTTGATGCAAAAAAAGATGCGATCATTTTAGGTATTCGTCGGACATGTATAATGTTGATGGAGTGCCTTAGCATTTTACTGTCAACAATGAAAGTGGAGTATATTCCGAGAGTTATCTCAGAAAGTGTTAAGGCTCGAGCTAAAGCTATTGCTAAAGAATGGAAACCGAAGTTGGATGGTTTGGATGTTGATGTGAATCATGGGAACTCCTTGGAGGCTCATGCATTCTTACAACTTCTAGCTACGTTTGATATTACCTCAGATTATGACATGGATGGTTTAACCAAGTTGATACCCATGGTTTCCCGTCGTCGTCAAATAGCTGATTTATGTCGTTCTCTTGGACTTTCGGATAAAATGCCAGGTTGGTCCTAACATATTGTATCTTAGTAGTTGCAAGCACTTTCCAAGGGGATATACAGAGTAGTAATTTTTTTTATTAGTGTGTGTAGATGCTTTGATTTTAATTTAAAGTATGAATGGCATTAGCTATTAATTAACCAGTTAATAATCTCTTTGAGATTCATTTATGGCCTTCCTTGGACCAGATTGAGGAAATTTGTATGAAGTTTTACTTAAAAATGGTGTTTAGAAAAAATAAAGTCAAAGGCAGTCACTTCCTCTAGTTCATATTTATGCACAAGTACCTACTAACTGATTTCCCACTGTGCATCTCCTTCATTAGTCTCACTGCCTGTAACTCCTTTATTTTTCCACCTACTTAATAATGAGCATATCTTCTGGATAAATTTACGTAGCTCCTAATTAAAGAATGATCACTAAAGGTCCATGTTTTTAAGGTTTTTGGTACTGTATAGTGTATAGAAAAGGAAAACAATATTCACTACATTATTTTCTGCTTGTACTAACCAGGTGTTATCAATCTGTTGGTAAATAACGGGAAGCAAATCGATGCTGTTAATCTAGCTTTTGCATTTGAGCTGACAGAGCTGTTTCCCCCGGTTCCTCTACTGAAATCTTATTTGAATGAGGCAAGCAAGGTTCCTTCTCCAGGAAAATCTGGGGTTCCCTCACTCACTGCACAGGTTTGCTCTTTTTGCTCCAATATTTCTAATGTAAGGTGCACTAAAAAGATTGGGATGAATCATTACGGTTCTGCTGCAATTTCTGGAGTCAGATCAAGTCAATTTATATGATGATAAACCATGAAAAAATCCTAGTTTTGTGAGACAGACATAATATGGTGATGTATTGAATTGACAGAATAGCTAACAAACATGACAGTAAAGCCTTGGCAAGAATGACATGCCAGAGCCCAGAGTTTACATGATGGAGCCTAGGCATACGGCAGATGCCCAGAGCTTTATTGTCAGAACAAAAACCTTTAGGCTATGTTTGGGACACAGAAAATTATCGGATAAGGAAAAAATGACAAGATAAATGAGTTTTTATGTTGGTTTTACTCTTGATTTATTCACCGCACTATGGCTCGTTGTGGGTCTTCTTAGAACCACCCCCTCTACTACTTGCAGTAGAAGTAAGATCTGCCTATATCCCCCCCCCCACAGATCCTACTCTCGAGTGAGATATACTCCGTTTGTTTGGTATGATAATTTCTTTTTTCAAGCATTTTTCGAGTTCGGAGCGGACTTATCGGTATATTTATCTGAAGCCTAATATTTCTCTTGCATTACAGAACAATTTAAACGAGAGGGAGTTGAATGCACTGAAGACAGTAATTAGATGTGTTGAGGATCATAAGCTTGAGGAGCAATATCCTCTGGATGCCCTTCAAAAACGAGTTCTTCACATGGAGAAAGCCAAGGCAGACAAGAAAAGGGCAACTGAAGTTCCAAAACCACAACCTAAAAGACCTCGCGCTAATGGGGTCGGACATTGTGCCCGAGTCACTAATGTTTCCCCTGACAAGAACTTCTATGCTAGAACGGACAGGTACCCACAATACTTGTATGCTTACACCGGTCCTACGGATACCCATATCCCTGCATTCTTAGGTACACCCTACAATCTCTCTGGGCCTGTCAACTTCTTTGGAAATGGCTACCATTACCAGGCAGCTTACCTGCACTAATACTACTAAAGTGCTGTACTTGTTAGTCATTAACCCTCTGAGTGTTTAATTTGAACCTTATGAACAGTTTTTATTCATGAAAACGCTCGACATTGTAATTTATAGTCTTCTGTAAAAGCTAATGCGCGCTGTAATGTTTTAATATGGCACAATGCTTCATGTTTATGTTTCTGTCTCATTATGTTCTCTCTATGCACTATTTTCTTTTCTTTTGTTCTGCTAAGAGATTGAAGAATTTTTCAATGTTTGAGTCATATAGATATACATAAATCACCCCTTTAACATTAAGAATGATTTGTGCATTTGCTTTGATTACTTCACAATAAGAAATGAAAACTGTACATCTCAAGATGATGTTACTTGAAAAATTACAAATTTTATTATTTTTGGAACAAGACTAACCTAAACTAAATGGGCAAACTAAATTGGATAATGTTAGTGTTACCCCATAAAACATACTCCATTTGGCACATCAATGTTTTGTACTGGCAAAACAGAACGCTAGTGTGATTGATAATGTTTTGCACTTGCATTCTCTGCTAGTGTATATTAGTGCTTTGCTAGTGCAAAACACTAGCATACAAAATGGGATATGTTTCATTAGATAACACTACCAAATCCTTTTTTTACAAACCAAGTTTACAATTTTTTGCCAACTAAGCATGTAGTAATAGTTGAAATTTTGTTAAAGCTACGCATATTAACAAAGTATAAATTTGATACTCGGGGTATTACATTGAATTTCACAAAATTAATTGAAAGATGTGAATATTACTACTTTTGGGATGTATTTAGCAAGACACCCCTATCTTCATAGTTTTAAAATTGGATCCTAATAGGGCTGGACACGGTACTGGTTCGGTACCGTCACCGGAAACGGTACCGCCGGTACCGAGCACCGTGACGAATACCGGGACGGATTAACGGTTCCGAGAACCGGTACCGGTACCGCCACATCCGGTCTCGGTTCCGGTGCCCCAAAATCGTTACCGGCACCGCCGGTACCGGTGCCGGTTCCGGTACCGGTACCGGTTATTATTATTTATTTATTTCTCCTTTTTGCTCATGCTCTCCAACCAACGGAAACCTG